ACAGCTTTCTCCTGTGCTCTTCACAGCTTTCTCCTGAGGTTTTCCCAACTTTCTCCTGTGCTCTTCACAGCCTGTGTTGGCGTTGGTGAAGGGCGAGCCCCGGAGGCCTGGCTGCGTGCTAGTGAGACGGGGACAAGGATCAACACCCCGGCCCCCAGTTATTGGCTTCCTTTGGGCCCGAGGTTTGTTGTGATTGTCCCGCCCGTTCTCGGATACCCGGCGGCGTTCGTGAGGGATATCCGGATTCACCACCGGCAGATTTGTTTTTATTTGGGCCTTCGGATTTGATTATTGTTCTTGTTGTTGTTGTTGTATCTGTTTTATCACTCTTTTTCTTTAGGTTCGTTTATCTTAGAGGTAAACGTTGCTAGAACGGTCATGGAAGGTTACTGTTTGGAGGATCAGTTTCAGTGTGCGATAGACGAGTTTCAGTGTGCGATGGACGAGTTTCAGTGTGCGATGGACGAGTTTCAGTGTGCGATGGACGAGTTTCAGTGTACGATGGACGAGTTTCAGTGTGTGATGGATGAGTTTCAGTGTGCGATGGACGAGTTTCAGTGTACGATGGACGAGTTTCAGTGTGCGATGGACGAGTTTCAGTGTACGATGGACGAGTTTCAGTGTGTGATGGATGAGTTTCAGTGTGCGATGGACGAGTTTCAGTGTACGATGGACGAGTTTCAGTGTACGATGGACGAGTTTCAGTGTACGATGGACGAGTTTCAGTGTACGATGGACGAGTTTCAGTGTGCGATGGACGAGTTTCAGTGTGCGATGGACGAGTTTCAGTGTGCGATGGACGAGTTTCAGTGTACGATGGACGAGTTTCAGTGTACGATGGACGAGTTTCAGTGTACGATGGACGAGTTTCAGTGTGCGATGGACGAGTTTCAGTGTGCGATGGACGAGTTTCAGTGTGCGATGGACGAGTTTCAGTGTACGATGGACGAGTTTCAGTGTACGATGGACGAGTTTCAGTGTGCGATGGACGAGTTTCAGTGTGCGATGGACGAGTTTCAGTGTGCGATGGACGAGTTTCAGTGTACGATGGACGAGTTTCAGTGTACGATGGACGAGTTTCAGTGTACGATGGACGAGTTTCAGTGTGCGATGGACGAGTTTCAGTGTACGATGGACGAGTTTCAGTGTACGATGGACGAGTTTCAGTGTGCGATGGACGAGTTTCAGTGTACGATGGACGAGTTTCAGTGTACGATGGACGAGTTTCAGTGTACGATGAACGCGTTTCAGTGAACGATGAACGAGTTTCAGTGAACGATGGACGAGCTTCAGTGTACGATGAACGCGTTTTCAGTGAACGATGAACGAGTTTCAGTGTACGATGAACGCGTTTCAGTGAACGATGAACGAGTTTCAGTGAACGATGGACGAGTTTCAGTGAACGATGGACGAGTTTCAGTGAACGATGAACGAGTTTCAGTGAACCATGAACGAGTTTCAGTGAACGATGAACGAGTTTCAGTGCACGATGAACGAGTTTCAGTGAACGATGAACGAGTTTCAGTGCACGATGAACGAATTTCAGAGTACGATGAACGAGTTTTAGTGAACGATGAACGAGTTTCAGTGAACGATGAACGAGTTTCAGTGCACGATGAACGAGTTTCAGTGAACGATGAACGAGTCTCAGTGCACGATCAACGAGTCTCAGTGCACGATCAACGAGTCTCAGTGCACGATCAACGAGTCTCAGTGCACGATCAACGAGTCTCCGTGCACGATCAACGAGTCTCAGTGCACGATCAACGAGTCTCAGTGCACGATCAACGAGTCTCAGTGCACGATCAACGAGTCTCAGTGCACGATCAACGAGTCTCAGTGCACGATCAACGAGTCTCAGTGCACGATCAACGAGTCTCAGTGCACGATCAACGAGTCTCAGTGCACGATCAACGAGTCTCAGTGCACGATCAACGAGTCTCAGTGCACGATCAACGAGTCTCAGTGCACGATCAACGAGTCTCAGTGCACGATCAACGAGTCTCAGTGCACGATCAACGAGTCTCAGTGAACGATGAACGAGTTTCAGTGCACGATCAACGAGTCTCAGTGCACGATCAACGAGTCTCAGTGCACGATCAACGAGTCTCAGTGCACGATCAACGAGTCTCAGTGCACGATCAACGAGTTTCAGTGTACGGTCAACGAGTCTCAGTGAACGATCAACGAGTTTCATTGAACGACGAACGAGTTTCAGCTTCAGTCAGCTTCAATCTGTGACTCTGTGTATTAGTTAAGTCTTGGATATATGAGAAATATAAGAGCCATTAAGAGCGTAATATAGTGGTATATAGAGTCATCAGCTTAGCCACCTGAGCCAAGCTTGACGAAGCTTGACAAGCTGCTGTCAAGCTGCTAAATGTGAAGTTAGGCGTAATTGGGAGATAGAATACCAGTGATAATATATAGTGGTCTTGCTTAGTGTTTGTTTGTTTGTGTGTGTGTGTCTGTCTGTCTGTCTGTCTGTCTCTCTCTCTCTCTCTCTCTCTCTCTCTCTCTCTCTCTCTCTCTCTCTCTCTCACTGCTATGTCACCTCTCTCCCCCCTCCCTCTCCCCTCTTGACGTTGCTATGGTAATATACCCTCCCGTCAACTTTTCCCAGCCTCTGAACCACGCCACACTCTCCCTTACTCTCCCTTACTCTCCCTTACTCACCCTGATTCCCCTCCCTACTCTATCTGGCTCTTCACTACTCTACTCTCCCTCACTCTCTCCTGCTCTTTCTCTAGCTCTGCTTTATTCATCCTGACTCTCTCTCTGGTGTACCTCTCCACCACTCACAGGATCAGTATGGGGTGCACAATAACCCACCACAGGATCAGTATGGGGTGCACAATAACCCACCACAGCATCAGTATGGGGTGCACAATAACCCACCACAGCATCAGTATGGGGTGCACAATAACCCACCACAGGATCAGTATGGGATGCACAATAACCCACCACAGGATCAGTATGGGGTGCACAATAACCCACCACAGCATCAGTATGGGGTGCACAATAACCCACCACTCACAGGATCAGTATGGGGTGCACAATAACCCACCACTCACAGGATCAGTATGGGGTGCACAATAACCCACCACTCACAGGATCAGTATGGGGTGCACAATAACCCACCACTCACAGGATCAGTATGGGGTGCACAATAACCCACCACTCACAGGATCAGTATGGGGTGCACAATGAACCAACACACACAAGATAAGTATCGGGCGCACAATAAACCAGTATATGTATATATATATATATATATATATATATATATATATATATATATATATATATATATATATATATATATATATATATAAGACAGGAAACTTGAGACGTTACAGTTAGTTTAGTTCATTTATTATGCACCCCATACCCATCTTGTGGGCGGTAGTGGAAAGGGTTACAGAGGCACATAATGGGCTCAGGGACTGAACCCCACGGTACAGTGTATACCAAATGTAACACAGAACACTGTGATCTGAAACACCGCGTATGTTACAGTGAATACCACCGTTCTCCCTTATATCTAGCTAGATAGAAAACGTACAATTAAACCAATGATAAGGGTAAACTTGCTCATTTTCAGTAGTAGCACCAACTAGTCTTTTTTTTTATGTGTGTAATTGCCTAAGTGTAACTACCCTAAGTGTAGTTACAGGATGAGAGCTACGCTCGTGGTGTCCCGTCTTCCCAGCACTCTTTGTCATATAACGCTTTGACACTACTGACGGTCTTGGCCTCCACCACCTTCTCACCTAACTTGTTCCAACCGTCTACCACTCTATTTGCGAAGGTGAATTTTCTTATATTTCTTCGGCATCTGTGTTTAGCTATTTTAAATCTATGACCTCATGTTCTTAAAGTTCCAGGTCTCAGGAAATCTTCTCTATCGATTTTATCAATTCATGTTACTATTTTGTATGTAGTGATCATATCACCTCTTTTTCTTCTGTCTTCTAGTTTTGGCATATTTAATGCTTCTAACCTCTCCTCGTAGCTCTTGCCCTTCAGTTCTGGGAGCCACTTAGTAGCATGTCTTTGCACCTTTTCCAGTTTGTTGATGTGCTTCTTAAGATATGGGCACCACACAACAGCTGCATATTCTAGCTTTGGCCTAACAAAAGTCGTGAACAATTTCTTTAGTATATCGCCATCCATGTATTTAAAAGCAGTTCTGAAGTTAGAAAGCGTGGCATAGGCTCCTCGCACAATATTCTTTATGTGGTCCTCAGGCCCCTCACACTGACACCCCAGCCACGACCCTCACACTGACACCCCAGCCACGACCCTCACACTAACACACCAGCCACGACCCTCACACTAACACACCAGCCACGACCCTCACACTAACACACCAGCCACGACCCTCACACTAATACCCCAGCCACGACCCTCACACTAACACACCAGCCACGACCCTCACACTAACACAGCCACGACCACACTAACACACCAGCCACGACCCTCACACTAACAGCCACGACCCTCACACTAACACACCAGCCACGACCCTCACACTAACACACCAGCCACGACCCTCACACCACACCAGCCACGACCCCCACACGAACACACCAGCCACGACCCTCACACTAACACACCAGCCACGACCCTCACACTAACACACCAGCCACGACCCTCACACTAACACACCAGCCACGACCCTCACACTAACACACCAGCCACGACCCTCACACTAACACACCAGCCACGACCCCCACACTAACACACCAGCCACGACCCTCACACTAACACACCAGCCACGACCCTCACACTAACACAGCCACGACCACGACGACCTCACACTAACACACCAGCCACGACCCTCACACTAACACACCAGCCACGACCCTCACACTAACACACCAGCCACGACCCTCACACTAACACACCACCAGCCACGACCCCTCACACTAACACACCAGCCACGCCACGAACACCCAGCACACTACACACCCCAGCCACGACCCTCACACTAACAC